CAGCTGAACTCTTAATGGGACGTAGATTAAGATCAGTCTTAGATACTGCTCACCCAGATTTCACTCTACCTTCACAGAAAGAGAAGACTAAAAGCAATGCAAGATCATTCAAGCTACATGACAAGCTGTTTGCAAGGAACTACTCTGGGAAGCCATTATGGATTCCTGTGGTTGTCTGTAAGATCACTGGACCATTGTCTTACCATGTTGAAACTATGGATGGTTTAGTGCTTAAAAGACATGCTGATCAGCTCAGAAAAAGGTACACTGAAGACTCTGAGCCAGATACCCTTCCGGAGGACAGTGATTGGGATGATTTCACTCCATTGATTCCTAACGTGCCTCCACCTCCTACTCCGCCTTCTTTGCCCCCACCGATTCGTCGATCGACTCGTTCAAGGATGACTACTGATCATGGGCCGTATGTATGTTAACTTAAGAGGGGAGGGGTGTTATATATTGATATATTATTTTGGTATTGATTCCTATTATTATTTTCTAAGGCATTTTGATTACAGTTATTTCTAGTATTATTATTATTGTTATTATGATTATTATTACTACTATTGTTATTACAATTATTATTATTACTATTATTAATTATTATTATTATTGCATTGCTGTACGATCTTATTTCTTTTCCTTCTAGCTGATGCTTATGATTTACTATGCTTATTAGTTCATGTATACTGATTCTGATTGTTGTGTAATGTTTTGTCATTGTGATGTAATCTGATGTAATACTGTTTGTATATAAGTGTATGCTCTTTTCATTTTTGTCAGAAGAGATTTTAGCCTTTTTACAATAATCAATATTTACAAAATACGAAGGTCAAGCTCTCTCCATTCGGTCACTACATTAGGTATCAATCCTACTATACTGTAATAAGTGTTAGTAGTGTTAGTTATATTGTATGGACCAGTACTGGTAGACTCTCTATATCTTATCTCACATACTGTAATGATACCATTAGGTATTATAGGAGGATTCCATACAATATTTATTGCAGTTGGTGATTTTCCATGTCTTAGATCAGATATCACACCAGGAACTGTGTTAAGATCATGTTAAACTGATCAATATCTCATTGACTTACTTGATTCAGCAGTTAATTGTACTTTTTGTCTAGCTGGTCCAGTCATATTATAATTATAAGGTATTATACTCACAGTATAGTTAGTATATGGTATTAATCCTGTGAGATTATACATTCTGTTGTCTCCTCCAGTGATATTAACAGTATAACTAGTGTTTGAAGTGATGTTAGTGTACGTGAGGTAGTGTCCAGTGATTGGTCCATTCCTTCCATTGCAAGGTACTTCATCCCATGAGACAGTCATTGACACTGACTCTACTGATGAGAATATAATATCACCCACTGGTGCAGTAGGGGCTAGTGAGAAGGGACTAATAATAAATTCCAATAATTCTTCACTTACCAGTTGAGAGTGTAGTAACAAGATAATTAGTAGTCAAATAAACTATCACAGCTCCATATACTCCACTAAGATCAAAGCCACATTGACTGTAAGGAGGTATACCAGTTGAAGTATGTGGTGATGAAACAAATGTTTCACTATTACTAGTGACTGATGATTCACATATTTTTCTATGTCTTCTAAAAATATAATAAATAGCTGGTGCTACAGAAGTTGGTGGACTCCATGTTAAAGTTACATTAACACTTGTAATTGCAGTAGCCATAAAATCATTAACCACTGGATAATCTAAAATATGAATAATTTTATTACTACTAAGAAGAACTTACTGAGTGTTAACATAACTGAAGCATTACCACTAGGTAGAGAAGCTGATCCATAAGATACTACATAGAAGGTGTATGTACTTCCTTGAAACAATCCTGATGTTATATTGATTGCTGATAAAGTAGTGTTGGATACACTAACAGGAGTATTACTAGACAGTTGATAGTAGACCTCATAACCAGTAGCTCCTGATACAGTAGACCAGGAGAGTCTTACATGAGATAAACCAGTACTTGATCTTGTAGCAGTTAAACCAGTTGGAGTATCAGATACTTCAATAAAGTAAGAAAATAAATAAATGATAAATGACTCAAACCTGATAAACTCAAAGATGTGGTACTACTTGCTGCCTGAACATTACCAATACGACCGTTAGTACCAGCAGTTACTCTGTCATTAAATACATTACACTGATAGTTACCAGCTTCTCTCAGTCTCACTGTTACTGTCACTCTTGTAACAAATCCTGATCCATTCACTATCACACGAAACAGTTCAGTAGATATTCCATTCCCATTCACTGAACAACTGACAGTAGTAGGAGGACCATCAGAGACATTGAAACTCAGACTGAAGACTGGAGGAGTAGCTAATCTATTAGTGGAGAGGAGAGAGAACTGCATAGTAGGATCAGCATCAGGACCATCTGTAAAAGAAGTACATTAATTATAGTCTATATTCATCACATACCATTGTTATTGTATCCAGTATCAGTATATACTCCGACCACTAGAGTTTGATTCACTCCATTCTCATCAGGAATGATACACTTGTATAAACCTTCATATCCTGATATTCCAGCTCTTCTAGCTAGTGCAATCTGACCACTGAATCTCTTACTGAACACTGGACTAGGAGCTGATGAATCATCAATAGGTCCATCAAATAAAGGTACTTCAGTTCCATTAGGATAATACCACACTCCAATATTAGTAACATTGTTAGCACTCTGACACCACAAAGCATCATCGATATCATTAGCATCATTATTCTGATCAACATCATAAAACTGGCTAGCATATATCATAGAGTAATCAGGTATTATTCTGTCCTCATAAGCTAGGTACAGTCGAACACCTAGATATGAGTATATAATCTAGTATTTGTTACCAAAATTTATTTCTTACCATTACTGGGTAGGATGGAAGGTGCCTGTCCAGATACAGCCACCAGTTGAACCAGCAGGAGCAATAAAAAACAAGACCTGCTTGATAATGCCATTTTTCTTTTCAATGTAGATTTTATTATTGAGCTGACAGAATCATGTGACCTTGTATTATCAGTTGTTGACACAAAAGTGTATTTTACTATCTTAATTTAATAAAAATAATGAATATTGTTATGAAAGCCACGCCCAGTCAATGAGCTACGCCCTTTTTAAGATTTGCAGAAGATGCTTGGCATGAAGATGTTCTTATGTTGTGTAGAAAGTTTGAGATGATAGTTTTGATAAGTTTAAATTTTTAAAGTTGTTCGAAAATTAGGTCAAAGTACACTTATGTATACAAACATTCAGGCCTGCTGAGAGAAGACATGGGGCCCAGGGGAAGATTAAAATTAGGGGCCCTTTGCAATAATTTAAAAAATTACAAATTAAACGACAAGAACTACCAATGCTCAAATATGACTGAAAATTGATTGACTGACTTAGGAACACTAGCAATTGAAAGCAAACTTGCAGAACAGCTAAATTTTGATTATATCATACATCATTTTGCTAGTTTAAAAACCAGAAAGGCACATGTTAATTAAGTTATGATGACTTATTATACTTTAATTATAATGTAAATTATTATGCGGCCCCCTGAATTGAGGGGCCCAGGGGATTTATCCCCTGCTCCCCCCCTCTCAGTGGGCTTGCAACATTTGGAAGTGATAATTTTATATGCATTGTGATTTAACACAAATTGCAAGAATAAAAACGTCCCAAAAATTCATTCTCTGGGGAAAAAAGATAAGGCTTGCTCTTTTAAAAATTTTTAAAGTTCAGCTTTGCATATCAACCTTGTATTAAGCTCAAAACTTCCTTCTTTGCTTATATGAAAAATTTTGTTATTGCTCCATTTGCTTTTTTTTCACTTCTTAAAACTATTGCTTTTCAACTAACATAAATATTTTTATAGCTATAACACAAACACAATATGCATTAATTTAAGTGGTAGCATTAAATATATGTTTATTTGCATCACTAATAGTGTACATGATAAAAGATGAGTGGGAGCATTATTAAAAAGGTGGTACTTCGTATTCAGAAGTCTCAGGCCTGTTTGATGATCTATTTGTTAATGTATTTTATTTTCAAATTAATGCAGTAACTAACTTTGCTTTATAATCAATTGCAGCATATGTTGGAATGCTTTGCAATGCAATGTCATTCTCTGGTTTTCTATAAGCCATAGTTTTAAAAATGCCATTGTAATGAATGCTCATTTACCTCTTTTGGTCTGTTCTTTTCACATTCAAAACAATTACCAATACAGCCAGTACTATGATGGGTATATAGACCACAGTTACACCAACGATCAATCCAGTGGTAGTTACAGTAGTTTCAGCAGTAGTTACAGTACTTGATATTCTAGGATGAAAAACTGAACAGAAACAGGAAGAATCTGTTAAATTACATTATCTGTAAATTAGCTATTAATTATGTTTTTTTCTTATTTTAATAATGACATACAGATCAATGTTTAATTATGATGTTCAGTATAAAAACACATAAAGTGACTACATACATCTATTAGTATATGTACTGTCTTACTTGTTGATGATCCTGTAACACTAATGACTAATGAAGTGCTTG